TTACGCACCATGGTCTCCTATTACAGGTTTATACAATGTTAAATTGCATTTGCACATAAAAATTCTACATTTATTTTTGAAAACAATGACGATGCTTTGGATTAATATTCGTTTATGATATTGGTTGTTATCAATAGCTGCGAAGTTCATGAATAATCGTCAAATTTTATAAGCACTTTACGAAACGTGGGCGCTAATACAATGGCTGCGAACGCCCAAAGTTTTCCGGTTTTCGCAATACTGGTTTTGTCCTGATTTCCTTTCGGCTTCTTCTTCCATTCTGTTTACCCAACAGCTAAGAAATCACTGCCATTCGCCAAATCACGCCAAATAGCTATGACGCAGACGCTGGTCAAACAATGAAACCGATGATTGTTTCCTATGTGTCACGCCAGCAAATAATGGCCAGGAGGTATAGGCTTTCGCCATAGCGTCGTCGCCAAGCACGCCACGCCGTTGCGCAATCGTCAGTTTAACGCGTCAGCCAGCAACATTTCCTTTGCCACTGTACCAGGCACTTCCTACATCAAAATTTCTGAGGTTGATATCCTTAGCAAACTTCGTCACAGCATCTACGTCGTGGCGAGAACCGAACACCATAGAACCACAACCGAAACTGTAGCCGATGACGGCATGTCGTGAAACTGGAAGTAACGATTGACTCATGAAGCCATGGCTCTCTATAGCAGTTTTCCTTATGCCTAACATGCAGGGAATTTATGACTATCGAATAAAAAGAGGTTCTGCCTAAATTCATACTTCCTGAGATAATTCATCGGTAGAAAGTCTTACTCAGAAGCGAGAGGTTTCGGGTTCCAGCTGCTGTCGTGTCACTCGTCTTTCTTCCTTACGAGATAGAAAAACTTCACCACTTCATTGGAGAATCAAAGGGAGACTAAACACTACAGTAGTCACATAGCTGTAGATGTAGGCACTTATGACAACCACATACCCTTTATACCTAATGTCATTAAGTTAAACGAGACCAAGATCCCTTAACTAACTTTCCTTTCTCTCTTTTCCCAGATGAACCGGTTGTGGGGTCACCATTTGAGTGATTCCTGAAGGTCTTTGTTTAGCTGAACGACAACATCAATATGACAGCAACAGGGGTTTTACCTTGTGCTCATTATCACACTTAATCATCCACCGGCAGGTGAGTTAATCAGTCAATCAAAGTTAATATGCTTATGCAACACATGTTGTTAAGGTAAATTGCAACCCTAGATGATGCTCGCGTCAAATAATCTGGCCGTTCATCTAGTACGCTCTGGTATGACCACACCAGAACGCCACGCTGTTTGCAAATCAACGACTTGTTTGTTGATTGGCTGCACCGAATCAACGTGCTGTGAATTCCTTGTTATATTATACACTAACATAATTTATTTCCTGGGGCTCGAATCCGGCACCTGCACAGCCATGAAGAGACGATGAACATTTTCTACACAGTTTATTACGATAACACCTACCGGAAGTTGAACGTTCGAATTAAAGCACACTCATCTACAACATTGGGTTTAGCAGCTCCGGCATTGCTCCATTCGCGATTTCAGGGGCATACATTTTAGACATGCAATGGCATCTGTAGTCTACAGACACAATCGAAGATTTTATCTTCTGATAAGAACTTCCCTTCATAATTTAACGCAAAAACTTCAAACGTGCAATACATACTGTTTTGTCGTGATAAGCGAAAGCTGGAGATCTGTCATAAACTGGATGCGAACATCCGGATTGAAGTCTTGGCTGAATTATATTTGTCGCCAACGTTTTTGGTTATTTTTGACATTTTGTTCAACTTTTGTCTTCATAAGGCAGTATGTTACAGATTTATCACTTGTTCCCCGATGATAATATAGGTATGAAAGAGAAATCCGTCGGCATCAAAGCTGCAACATATGCTTTGTTTGGGTTTTCCGCCCCATTAACTATAAAGTTCGTTGCATCTTTTCCTTTACTGCTAATTCCCCTGAGCAAAGAGATCATCACGCCAAACTTCCTACAACAAACCGAAAAAAGTCTACAGTCACCGCTATGCTAATAACAACGGTGGTGTAGTCTTATGGTAGAGTCATTTTATGCGATGCGTATTCTTCATCACTGCAATTTGCTTTAACCTACGTTATAAGTCGCTAAACGTCAGCGCAGATTGTAAGCCGTAACTCTAGCAATTTACTTAGCAATCAAGATGAACGTAAGATGCGAAACTACCTAAGATCATCTGGAACCAGTTTATTTTTCAGTTAATGGTAAACAACAAGTTGGGGTTGAAAGATGGTAATGCAAAATATTGACTGTTTTATCAAGGAAGCAACACATTACTAACACCGGTGACTAGAAAAAATTAACTTTTGGACTGCCTGGTCTGGTTATTAATCCTTTTATTTATTTACAGTTGTTTTAATCAGTAACGCAGAAATACTTTCCTAGGGAGTCAAGGAATAGAGAAAAGCATCGTACTTCATCATTCAAGAATGCGATGGCTAGTGTAAAGCTTCACGAAAATACCAAAAAATTCAAAGTATAGAAAGATCTGACGGTACGATGCCTGCACGCTCCAATTTGGGTGTCTATTCAATACCACGCTAGCTAATTTACCTCGCTAACTACTTTGAGCTTTGCTAGGTGATTGACATTATCGAAAGTCCCATTGGGTCTCTGTTCGTTTTCTGAAGTGGAAAATGCAATCAGTAGACTTTTCGGCGTTGACCATTAATGCTGAGTTAGTGATGCGGTTTCAGACTTCCTGAACTTATATCACAAATCGATGATAATCGGATGGCTGTCAGGAATGCCACATCATCCGCATATTTCAAGCATATCATGCCCAGTTTGATCTGCATTTGGTAGTCTACAATGCTAGGAATATTGGGGAAAGGACAGAACCTTCAGCAACTTCAAGATCACAGCGTCGGATTCTCGATGTCCAATGCGGAATAAGCGGCTGCAGGTAAACATTGGCATGAAGAGGAAAAAACTATCCGACATCTTTCCTTTGCAGCGCGGAATCAGCTCTATGAAAATATCAGTTCAATTACCATTTCAATGTCCTTATAGGTTGCAGAGGCAAACACGTCAAACAGTGCTTCCAACGTTCTCGATGCTAGCTAGAGTTTGAACTTCAGCAGAAAACAACCGGAATCTACAGCAGAGTCCTTCGATACACTTGCTTCAGGTAATTCCCGAAATCTTCGACCGGTCGGTTGGGCAAATAGTTAGACAGCCACTTTTGTTTGCGATGAATGACTGAGTATTGCTTTTGTGTGACAAGACCGCAGAAACACATTTAAAGGAATCAGAAGCAACAAACAACTGAATGAACCCTTATAAGGAAAGACTCTTATATGAAATGACTACATTATATGCACATTTTGTTCAAGTACGTATTTTAACCAGATCGGTTTTAGTTTCACTTGCACAAAAATAAGACCACATCAGATACACGAACATAACAGAAACAATAAGCTCATGAAAGACGACTTCATCGATCTGTACACCTCTACGGGTATTGTGATTGCAGATGTAAAAATGAACCGGTTGCACGACTCGGTCAGCGTTCACGCTTGATCAGGCCGTTGACGTTTCTGACAGCCAATTTCGAAACGAGTCGCTGCCTCAAATTCGACTTTGTTTTCGCTTTGCCTTTCTTTGAAAACAGAAGCTGAAAATCACGACCACGATGAGCTACGCCTTCATCGTTGTCGACCATAGATTGTAGCTCGTCGATGTCGCCTTTGTTGAGCGGACGCAAGGAGATATCGCGAACAGCACGGAATTGACCGCAGTTATTTAGGTGCTCATTCTCCAGACGGAAGTAGTTCCAGACGAACCGTCGAAAGCACTCAAGCGGAGCAGTCACCGAAAGCAGCACATCGGCTTCTGTCAACCACGCGTCACCAAGGCTAACGTTCAGCACCCAGGTGATACGCAGGAAAAAATCAGCCACCATTGCAGAGTAGTAGTACCATTTT